GATGAGTGGAAAGAGCCCCAGACTTGGAACAGGGGAGACCCACACTCATGCTCAAGTCTCTGCCACAGACTTGCTGGGTGACCTTGAGCGAATGACCTCCTCATCCCAACCGCAGCTCCCTTGCCTGTAACAGGGAGCACTGGCACCCAAGACCCACATCATCAGGGTCAAACAGGATGTCAAAGGACACTGTACATTTGTTCATACTTGATAAAGTTACAGCATCAAGGTGAGGCTCCAGAAGGCTCTACCTACACACCCAGGGCCATTTCAGACACGCTGCTGCCCTGCTGCAAACACACCACCCAGCAATTTCTCGGGAAGTCTCTCAGCTGTTCCAGCTCAAATCAAAGCCCGTCCTATAAAAACACGGCCCCGTCCACAGAAGCAATCACCCATGGGTTTGGTGGGCCACCTGCCCGCCAGGTCCAGCCTGCTGGGCCATGAACATCAACAAGGCCCCTTCCTGGTGGGAGAAGGAACAGGGAGCCGGCTTGTTCTCCGAGAGCAGAGGACTGGCTGGGGACAGGGAACATTTTAAGGTGGGACGCTCCTTCCTGCACCGTTGGCAGCTGTCTACATAAGGCGTCCATTATGTGCAGGCCCCCAGGCCAGCAGGCCTAAGAGGCTAAGCTAAAATTAGTGTAGAATGTGCCCCCGCCAGAGACACAGAACATCCGAGGGTCAGATGCCTCCAGCGGGCCGCCGGGTGGGGTTGGGGGGGCCCCGGCCCAGATCAGCTGTGGCAGCTGCCGCCTGCGGCTCCTTCGCTCGGCTCGGGGGTGCAGCCCTGCCCAGGGACCTGCTCCAGCAGCTCGGCTTGAGTTAAAAAATAGAACAGACTAGAATCCCAAATAGATTTTTAAGAAATCTGTGCATAGAACACATGCGCGAGAGGAGTTCACTAAACCCCTAAGAGGCCGCATCTCAGTCTTCAACGTGAAATAGCAGGTGCATTTTTTTTTTCCTCTTATACTTTCCAAAATGTTCTCGAACTTTCCAAAACGTTCTCGATAAACTACCCATTACTATGCATTACTCTCGTAACCAGAAGAAAGCATGAGAAAAGACACGATAAGTAGTGTATTCACGCTAGATGTAACTTAATATATATTTTAAATTTATAAAAAATAATTACATGGTCTAGGCCCAAGGCAGATAGTGTCTGTGTGTGTGTAAATGTGTTTATGTATCTAGTCGACTGGTGTTTGGCAACTTGGAAGCCTAGGATGTCAGAGCTAGCCGGATGTCTTCCCGTCTTCATTTTACATTTTACGGAGGACCAAGGCCCTTGGCAACAGGGCAGGAAGCTGAGAAACTTCATGGAGTCCGGTCCTGTATAGGAGTTATGCCCCCACCTTGCCCCCCTCTAATTCTGCAGTTGTTTCTATCCCCGCTTTATGGAGCTGGACACTGGGGTACAGAGAAGCAAACTCATCACCCGAGGGTGCCCAGCTAGGAAGCCAGAGAGCACGGTCCCAAGCCTGGGTTTCCATTCGAGGCCCCCAGAGCTTGAAGAAAGGGGTCTTTGAAAATCACCTGCTCTTTGAAATCTTAGTGCGGAAGCAACTTCTTACAGGAACAAGTTTTGAGCTGTCTCTCCTGGGCCCCTCTTGGGTGGTGTATGCCTCCCCTGCCTGGGGGTGTGTGGGGGGCAGCTTGGGGTCCTGTCCCCGGGAGCCCTGGAGTCTGGGTGACAGAGAGTGGTGCAGGGACATGAAGAGCACAGCGCCTGCCCTTCCCCGATGTGGGTCGGGGCGGGCGGGGAGGCTTCAGGGGAAGGTGCCAGGTCTTCTGGGCAGGGACGGTCGGCCAGGGAGGCTGCCATTCAAATTCTCTTGTATCTGGCCCCGTGCTCCAGACCTGGCAGTGACTGGAGGCAGCCCCAGCTGGGACCCGAGGCCCTTGCTCTAGCTGCAACCTCTGCCCGCAGTGCCTGTCCCCAACCCCGTTTTCCACCCCATCTCTCCCAGGGCCATTTCATCCGTGCGTTTGTGCGTTCTTGTCAGTGAGCACGTTTTTACGGAGTACCTACTATGTGCTGGAGGACAGCAGAGTCCCAGGCCTGTCGGCGCCTGGAGTTCTCAGAGAGGGCTTAGTGTTTAGGCTGCCCTGGGTCATTCCAGCATGGACTCTGAGACCAGCCCGCTGGGATTCAGCCCGGCTAGGCTACTTCCCAGCTGTGAGTGCTTGGGACACTTACTCAGCCTCTCTGTGCATGAGTCATCCTCATCCGTACAAGAGGATAATAACAGCGCCTGCTTTGTGGACTTGAGCAAGTCAAGTGTAAAGCCGTATAAAGCTCTAAGAACAGTGCCGGGCATGTAGTAAGGGCTAAGTAATTGTTAATTATCAGAACTGTTTTTATTCACTACCATCTGGCTAAGATTCCCTCCTTAGCATGCCCCCTGCTCCTGCCCTCTGGCTTCCCCTCCCCTGTGGTCCCATAGCTCTTTGAATGCCCCCCATGAGAGCATCAGTAGCTATGTAGCGTGGGCTTATGCAGGCTGCTCCACCTCCCTCTCTGCACTTGGGGCAGGGACCAAGTGTCACTCATCTCTGACCTGCTCCCAGCGCAGACGCAGCAACAGCATCCCCAGGACCCCTTCAGAGTTGTAGGTAACGTACGCCCTCAACGCTAGCCAAGGAGAGCCTCAGAAGCTCCTCGCTGCTGGGCACTGGGGTTGCATATCTGGCCTTCTTGTGGAGCTTGTTGATGCTAATATTAAACCGTGGAGACTGGCCCTGGATGTGACCCGCCGGAGCTGACAAGGGGGCAGGGTGCTAGGCTCCCATGAATGCTTCTCTGTGACGGGGAGCTCTGTAGGGCAGGTGATCATAAACACCAACACCGATGCCCCACCCCACCGAGATGTTTCCTATGGGCTCTGTGTGGCACACACTGGTCCCTCTGCCTGGAACCCCCTCCGTCCCTTCCCATCTCCTGATCCCTCTGGCCGACTCACATGCCCCTCCTCCACAGTGCTTTCCCTTTCTTACAGTGAAGGAAGAAGGGGACCATCTTATCCCTGTCTGGATCCCCAGTGTCCACCAGAGCCTGGAACGGAAGGGGTGTCAGGGAAGTTCTGCTGCATGAACTTTTTAAAGGAAAATCACGTTAACTGACCTGCCTGCCTGTTAAGGCACAGGTGCTACCGCTTATGTCACCTTTTGAGCCCCAAATCCCCAGGCCTGTCTATGTCCCCCTGCCTGTAAGACCCGCTCCATTGCAGGCATGTGAGCTGATGGAGAAACATGGGATGGATGCAGAGTGGACAGGGAGCCAGACTTTCACCTGCTTGGGCAGGAGGTTTTGGAACCACCTGAGGCAGTAGGTGTTTCAGAGATGCAGATCCTGAGGCTCAGACCGGTCACACCGCTCCCCGAGGGGGTGACATGGCAGGGCTGGAATCCAGCACTGCTGGGCCCCAGAGCCTACTCTTTCTACTCTCCCAGGGGATGACAGATGTGAGAGCATTCTGAGTTCTGCCAAGAGAGGAAACTGTAAAAGTACAAAATTGTGCAGTATTACCCACCACACAGAAAATGACTCTGGGGCAGGGCCACCTGTTATTCATGGACAGCAGAGGGCTGGAAAGGGCCTAAATAACAGCATTGGGTCCTTAAAGGGGTGAGGTGGGGGGGCGGCGTGGTCTTCAGGGATGGGGGCGGGGGGCAGGGAGAGCTAGTGGGGGGGCTAGGGCGTTCCAATGGCAATCCCAGCAGCCCCCGACCAGAGAGGCCTCCACCACGGGACCGGGGGCTGATGCCCTGCATGGGGAGACCTGAAGGGCCCCAGCGGGACCCCAGGCACTTCAGCAAGGGGTGACCTGCCCTGGCCCCCATTGGTCGGGTTTAGTGAGTTCTAACAGAGCACCTCCTCTTAGCTCAGCCTCTCCCTGGGGCCCAGAGGCCTCTCCTGGACCCACGGAGCCGAATTACCTCCTTTCCTTGATCATACAGGGCCCAACCCAAGCCCCTTGGCATAGCAGCCAAAAGCCGACCCCCTCCTGCCCTGTGCCTACATCTCAGCCGCTGCTCCTTTGCACTTGCTGTCTCCTCAGCCCACAATGCCCTTCTTCCAGTTTTTTTTTTAACCTGGTGAACTTCTGTTCATCCTTCAAAGCCCAGTTCAAGTGTTACCTTCAAATGGTCTTATGTAAACCACCCCTACCACCAAACCCAGACAGAATGGAACCCTCCTGCCTTTCCTGGGTTCCCCACACTGTCACTATTTGCACAGCATCTCCCCCTTAGGATGCAACACTTTTTGAGGCTGGTGACGCGCCTTATTCATCTCTGGCTCTCAGTACCCTGCCGGCCTCGTCTTCCAAGCAGCCGTCCCAGCCTGCCCTGCAGTTCTGCCCATGAGCTTTGGCCCTGTCCTCACCCCTGTTCCGTCCAGGTCTGAGTGTGAGTTCCAGCAGAGTGTGCTAGACGGGACACGGGTCCCGCCCCCATATGCATACATGCACGCACACAGCACACACACAGCCCAGCCCAGGTTTTCTGTGGCTGCGAGGTCCAGAGAGCAATCAAGCAGGGAAGTGGTGGACAGCTACAGTGGCATCTCCACTGCCTCTCTCTGCCACCCCATGGCCTTGGTTGGGGCCTAGAGCAGCTGGCTTATGGCCTGCCCAGTTCACTGAGTCTCATTCTCTCATTTTTCAGACAGAGAATGGAGACCCACAAAGGGAGGTGCTTCCTTGAGATTTTTCTGAGCCATAAAGGCAGACCTGGGGTCAGAACCGGTTCCCCGGCTTTCATCCCAGGATACGTTCCCACCACCATATGCTGCCATTTGCAGAAATGCCAGCTGCGGGACTCTGGACATTTGGTAGCTTTTTGCCTACGTCTCCGTAGAGTGTGGGGCTCCATCCTCCTGCCAAGGCTGAAGTCATTCCCACCTATCTCCTGGCCACAAGCACAGCCCAGCGGCGTTTGGGCTGTGCTGAAATTGCTGTGTCCTGGGGTGCAGGGGAGAGATGGAGGGAGCTTACCTGCCAAAAGCCAGCCGTGGTCTCATGGTGGAGATGTGTCAGAGATTTCTAAGAGCTTGGAGGACTGTGTTGGAGGGAGGCCTGTGGGAAGTAGAGAAAGTGAGAATATTATTCTACTACCATCTGTCAGCTTACACTTGAGTTGGAAAAATGCATCCAAAAATGGTGAGCACAGCCCTGCTGAGAATGGCCTCAGAGCCAAGTTCCAGTCACCTCCACTCCTCCAACATGGTCAGCACAGGGTCAAGGTCAGACTCCCCCAGGGACGCAGCCTGGCCTGATGACCCCACTCACAGAGCTGCAAGTCCAGCCAGCAGCCCTGCATTCTGTTTCTGCTCTCAGGCTAAGAAAGTCTCACTTTCAAGCACTCCTTGGGGGAAACATCCCCTCACGGGCTCCCTGAACACTGTTCGTTGTAATTCACTCATTCTTGCTTTCATTATTCATTCATTCATGTGAGAATCTGATAGCCATTTGGGAAAGCTATTAGATGCTGGTGTCAGCTCTTATATAGAGAGAGCCACTGAGAATGACAGCTCAGGTCTTAGACATGCAGGACAAATGCCACAGGCTCCCAATCCCCTTCCTAGTGGATTTCCTCCCTCCTCTGAGGGATCTCTGTGCCAGACAGCAGGCAAAGCATTCTGCACGTGCCATGTAGGGCGGCATGATGCTTCCCACCATTTTCAGCACTAGGACTCCTTTTTCTATGAAAACATTTCTCAAAACTCCCCGTAACTATTCACTTAGCATCTTTTCACTGGGCAAAAAAAAAAAAAAAAAAAAAAAAAAAAAAAAAGAAGAATACAAAAGCCACAATGAACATAATGCTTTATAATTAACTTGTATGTTAGTCATCACAGCATTACCACGTGTATTTAAATAATGGTTACACATGCTCATTCAAGACATGGTATTTATGCCTTCTGGGTTTAAGGTGTTATGCCTTCTGGGTTTAAGGTGTTGATCCTTTAAGAATCCATACAGTCAATATCTGTTCAACAGATATTCATGGAACACCTCTGAGATGGCTGGACCCATGGCCCATAGGTTAAGGACCCTAGTATGGCAGAGAGTGATGGCTCTACAATGAGGCATGCTCAAGTTTGAGTCCAGCTGACTGGATGTCTGCCTGTGGGCAACCCAATCAGCCTTTCTCCAGCTCAGAGTCCTCATGAGTAAAATAGAGATGAGATCCTGACACTGTAAAGTTGTTATGAGGATGAAATGCAACAGTAGAAAGCAACCGGGTCAGGGCCTGGTGTAAAGCAGAAGCTCAATAACTGGACACCAGAGGATTATCATCATTGTTGCCATCATCCTCATCTCCATAATTCCCATCGCCACTACTGCCACCATCATCATAAATATGGCCATCACTACCATCAATAGCAACAGCAGCACCATCACATCATTACCATCATCACCATCATCATAAATATCATTACACAGCATCATCATCATCATCACCATCACCATCACCATCATCATCACCATCATCATCACCATCACGATCATCACCATCATCATCATCATAAGTTTCGTCACCATTACCACTAACAGCACCCATCACCATCTCACCATCATCACCGCCACCATCATCATCATAAATATCATCATTACCATCTACAGCAGCAGCAACACCACCATGATCACCACCACCATGATCACCACCACCATGATCACCACCTCATCATCATCACTACCATCATCATAAATGCCATCATCATTACCATCAACCATAGCAGTATCATCATCACCGTCACCACCATCACCATCACTATCATCATCATAAATATCATCATTACCATCAATAGCAGCAGCATCACCACCACCATGATCATCACCACCATGATCATCACTACCATCATCATCATCATCATAAATGCCATCTTCATTACCATCAACCATAGCAGTATCATCATCACCATCACCACCATCATCACTATCACCATCATCATCATAAATATCATCATCATTACCATCTACAGCAGCAGCAAACCATCGTCATCATCATAACCATCACCGCCACATAAATATCATTGTTACCATCAACAGCAGCAGCATCACCATCACCACCAACCACCACCACCGTCATCCTTCTTCCTTCTCCTTCTGATCCCTGAGAGGCTTGTCCTTGCCCCTTTAGTAGGATACACAGTGGTTTCTATATTATAATAGATTACTTGCATTCACATCTTTCTCGGGTTCATGCCCACCTCTATAACCTGAGTTGTGTGGACTTACATGTAAAGTGGGACAGTAATTTCAGCAAATTCATGGAACTGTTATAGTGATTAGATGAAATAATGTATATAAAAACCCAGCACAATATCCAGCATGTGGTCATTGCTTGATAATTGTTGGTCATCATTGCTTGTGGTGGTATTAGTAGTAGTAGTTAATAGGATTATCATTTCTCTTCCTAGCCTGTGAGTGCCTGAGGGCAGAGACCATTCCAAATCCATCTTGGTCTCCCCATAGAGTCTAGCACAAGGTCTGTCTCCCAACAGATATTAATAAGTGTTTGCTAAAGGCTCACAAAAAATCAGACACAAAAGAACTCAAGGGACAGGAGCCTGGGACATGGCCAAGGACAGAGGCCTGATGGGATCCTTAAAAACTTCAACAGATCTCCTGAAGAGAGCCATCTGTCACCCAAGCCAATCTGTAAGCCTGTCAGGAACATATCATTCATTCATTCATTCATTCATCAAACTGATCACATTTTCACTGTGGTCTAATGACAAATCCTTGCCTGGTGCTTTTCTTTTTCTTTTTCTTTTCTTTTTTTTTCTATTATGAAATCTTGTTTCCATCTGCCATGTCATCTAATCTTCAGAAAAGTACTTGGAAGCATGTAGAATTGATATTAACAATTAAGAAATGGAGGCTCGGAGAGGTGACAAAACTTGCCAAAGGCACATGGCAGTCAAAGCCATGGTGGGGAGTGGGACAAGGTCCCTCTCATGACCTTGACTTCTCCCCAGTGGCCGTGGGATGTCAAGTACTTTACACACCCAGGATCATTTATTCTCATTATCCAGTACACTTCTTGACAAGTAAAACTGAATTAAATTATTTTGGAGCTATCATGCCTGCTGGAAAAGAAGGACTCTAAGTTCGATGAAGGCAGGAAGTACAAGAGCCACAACAGTATGGGGGCAGTCACACATTTTGATGCTGACCCCAGACTGCCTAGGTTCCAATCTTGCCTCTGACACTCATTAGCTGTGCGATCTTGAACAAATTACTCAACCTCTCTGTACTTCAGTTTCTTCGTCTGTCAAGAAAGGTAAGAGCTATCTATGAGTTCTTGTGAGTATTAAATGAGCTAATCCAGGCACAGTGTCTAGAGTAGTACCTGTACATAGTAAGGACTGGCTATAATTATTGTTCATGATGCATCCCTGTACCTAGAACAAGGCTTGGCACATGGAAGATCCCCAATAACCGTTTGTTGGACCATTGAACGGATGAAATACTCCCTGGAAAGAAGTCAAGTGCGGATGAGCGAGTCAAAAGAGTAGCTGGAGCTCTGACCCCAAGGCATCTAGGGTGCCCCAGTTCCTGGGTCACAGCCAAATCCAGGAGGAAGGAGATTGGTTGTTCTAAGACTCAAAAGCCCTTCTACTTCTCCAAGAGGTTTTATGCCCAATGAAGGGCAGTAAATATGAATGGTGCTAAAGAACATGGGCTCTCGAGTCAGATAATTAAATTCAAGTTCTCACTTGTCACCCTGTCACTCACTAGTTATGTGCTTACCTCCCTGTACCTGCCTCAGTTTCCTTATCTGTAAAGTGGGGATACTCATACCTATCCTGAAGGGATGCTGGGTGGATGAAATGTCATATGGAGGAGGTAAAGCCTCCTGTACCTGGTCCCAGTCCATAGTGACAGTGATAAAGAGCCTCACAAGGTCAACAGCAGGTAACTGTGACGGGGCTCTTCCTAGGGACTGTCCTGTGCCAGGTGTTGCTTCCACCACACTCTCCTCCATGTGGGCTTTGGATGCCTCTGCCGGGAGATGGCTTGTCAGAGCAGCCTGGGCTCCACTCTTGAGGCCAAAACACTGCTGCAAAAAGGCACATTCTCTACTTGGCCCCAGTGCAGGTGGGCCCTGCAGAGGCGAGACAGCTGCTTGGGAAGTGGCCCCCTGGGAAGGGTGGTCTCCAGAGAACCCTCTTGGAGAGTCCCTCCTAATGCAACAGTGCCAGCAACCCACAGCCGGCGTGCAGCTGCCTCCAAGGCAGTCCCCGTTCCCATGGGGGCTGCAAAGCCTCGTGCTCAGTTTCCTCTGGCCAAGACCCGAGGCTGGCAGCGCATCCTGTTTATGGAAAGGAACAAACATTTACTGAATCAGAAACTTTCCATTCCTTGTTTCATTCACCCTTGCAGCAGCCTGCGGGTGGGCACCCTGGTCTCTCCATGTGGCAGCTGTAGCTCTAGCCACCCCATGGCTCAGTTTCCTCATCTGTGAACACTACATAAATATCTCTATCTATTAAACCCATTCCGCAGCAAAGGAAGCAGAGGCATAGAAGGGGAGATGCACCATCCAGGATCGTGCAACCAAGTGACAAAGCTGGAGCTGTTTGGCTTCAAAGCTCCATTCATTCATTCACCCAACGATTACATCTCGAAGGCCCACCATGTGGTAGGCACTGGAGCCATACTCTCCCTCTTTTTAAAAATACATTCATATAACCTATGAATATAGGTTCATATAACATATTCATATAACCATCACTCCTAAGACCCAACCGTCAAGTCGATTCCACGTTAGCCAAGACACCCGCAGCCCTTCCTACGTGCCCGGCACCGTGCAAGGTTCTGCTATTGAGGATCATGTGGAATTCTCATGACAACCCTGCGCAGTTGACTGTTTTAACCCCTTGACAGATGACAACATGAGCAATTCAGGGAGGCAAAGAACCTGCCCACACTCACAAACGTGGAGCCTGAGGGAAGCCTGAATCATCTGCCCTGCAAATCCACTCTCTTTCCTTCCCAGCATGTTACTCCTTTCTCTCCCAACCCCCACCTGGCCCACAGGCTCTGCAAGCTCCTGTCCTCATGTC